ATCGACAGAGGAGAAAAATATTTAATGAAAATAAAATCCAGTCAGTTTTGAAATTAACGTGCCAAATTGCTTGATCGCGTATGTATATTCTTGGCTGACAAACAAAACTGACTCATATTTATTTGACGGTCGAATAAACACGAAACAGATCTCAAATACAAGCTTTATGTGTTATGTATATACATACATGCCCACAAAAATGCAAACAAATTCACTATTATTGTGTTTTTTTCCCCTACACAATTCATTGCAGCGACCTCTGCTGTATATCCACAATAACAATTGTTTCATCCAATAAATACAAAAGCCAGGAAACACGCTTAACAATGAACATGTCAACGTGAATCTTGTTTAACAATAAATTCTGATCTAACTATCGTAATTAATAGTCTTAAAATAAATAATAAACAAAAATTTCTCATCAAATTTTGAAAATTTTTTACAATAATTTTTAATTAATAATTAATTTTTTTCTTTGTGATATGCCCGCAGAAAATTTTTTCTATTTTTTAATTTTGTAAACAATTAAGAAGCCGTTTTCACCGTGTGGATAAATTTAAACCTCTGAGAGGTTAACTGCAGTAGATATATTCTGCGTCTGCGCAGAATATTTGCTTCTGCGCAGACGCAGAATATATCTACTGCCTTTAACCTCTCGGAGGATTAAATTTAATCCACACGGTGAAAACTAAAATGTTTAATTGTTTATAACTTTTGATAAAATATTTTTTTTCGAAAACTATTTTCTATTCTTATTTGCTATTAATATAAAAAGTTCAGATAAAAATGGAAATACTTTTGGTAATTTATTGATACACTTTAGAAAGTTTTATATAAAAGGTAAAAAAAAATGATTTTCTCTTTGTACTTAACAAAATTGCAAAAAAAATTTTTACTTTACAACTAAACCGATAATCATAGTAATTTCTTTATATTTTATAAACAATAAGCAATTTTTTATGAAAATAAAAATTATCTTTTAGAAACAATATTCATAATAAGCGCGTGACATTATTTTATGGCAAGCAATTTAAAAATTGTAAACGTGCGACTATTTGCAAAAATAAATAAATGAGAATGATGTGACTGAAGTGGTCAATTTTTGATGAGTCGGTCGCTAAACTCGTAAAATTATTCTCAAGGACTTTTGTAAATACTTTCACAAATGTGACGCTGGACCGTTTGTCATTCCATTGAATAAAAGTACGCGGAACTACTTTTCCAGTTATGCAGTTCCATGCAATTTCCCTGCATTTATCAATAGAGAGTTTAATAGAGTCTCTCTCTCTCTCTCTCTCGCAGAAAGACTTCTATACATGGAGTGGGGAAAAAAAAGATGCAATGGAAATTTTCTCAAGTTAAGATCTGTTGGCAGTATTTATGGCTAGATGGACTAACTATTAAACAGATGGTTGTTACGAACGTAATTTATGGTTACGGATAACACTTATGTCGACATAAGGGGATCTTTTATCTTTTCTTTCTTTTTTTTTTTAATAAAATAGAAAAGAAACACGATTACAAAATTATAACCATTTTCCTCAGAATTTCTAAATATGAACGGAATAATTTTAATCGCAATTGAAGTTTGAAATAAAATTTTTTTGAGTTTAATTAAAAAACAACATGATAAAAACTGTTGTATGAATAATGTGGAAGGAATTTCTTACAAAATAAATATATATCTCTAATTTTAAAATTAGTTACATATAAAAGCATCAAGATAATAATTTTTTTTTTTTTGCAGCATCTGATAAAATGATACAATTCTCATATTTTGCAGAATGACTATAAAAGAAATAAGATCCATTCAGTTGAGAATAAATAATTTAGTTATTCTCATTATAAGTTGAGCGGCGCATAACTCTCGCTTTGTTATGAATGAAGTAATAAGAACATATTACGTTGTAGTAGTTGCAAATTATAAGATTCTATGAAAAACGTGATTTCAGCCTTGAGAAACTGCTAAATCCTGAAATTCCTCGAAACTCAAGTTTCCTACATTCGATCCTCGGAATTTTTTTTTTTTCAATGCAAAAATAAACACTGACGCCAGTTTATAAAAAGAAGAGATATTTTTTTTCGCGAATATGCTAAACTGAATAAAGCAAAATACATACATAATTCTCTTCAGATTACTTAATAAGAAATTTTTAAATTGGAAATTTTAATCTTTAAATACAATTTGTCCTTGATTGAAGTTTATATATTTTTTTTTGTCTACTTTTTTCTGTAGATTTATTTTCATTAAATACATTGATTTAATGAAAATGAAACTAGAAATTTTTTCAATATTTCAGCAATAATATGATAATAGTAATTTGAAAATAAATTACCGCAACTTTTTTTTTTCAAAGATAAGATAGTGCAATTTTAGTTCCGTAGCTATCTCTTTCTCAATATTAAGAAATCACGTGATTCAAATTATTTTTATTCTTTTTTATTTTTACAATTCAAAAAAAAAGGAAGTGCTAGTTAATTAGATCTATAAAAATAACTGAAAAATTTAAAAATACAGTATTTTTATCCTAAATTTATTCTTTTCAAATAAGTGTAAAATACAAATGACCCTTATAAACAGTTCAGGTTGAATTTTACATCTTAACTTAAAGAATAAATGATTATCATAACTTACAAAAGACGGGAATTAATTATAAAATTACAAAAATCTATTAACTACACACTAAATCTGAATCAGTGAAATTTTCACTGATTTCAAATCAGTGGACGAGTTTTCTTTAATTCATCAGTGGAATTAAAGAAAACTCGTCCACTGATTTGAAATTATAGTGAAAATTTCACTGATTCAGATATAGTGTGTACATTATTATTTTTTCTATTATGGATTGAAAAATAACAAAGAAGAAAAATGAAAGAATTTTGGAATAAAAAAAAAAATAGAAAATTTGATTAAAATAAAACTTTTGCATATATATTATAAAAGCGAGCAATACGACACGAAATGTTAATTAAAGTTCTTTGTTCTGGAATTTAGAAATCTGACATTTAAAATCCCATTGAGCCAACATCCTTCACATCGGAATTTAAATCCATTTGCTTAACAAGAGAATTATACAAATTCGCGATTTAATATTGATAAGCATTATCACATGTTTATTCAGTGTTTTATCAATGCATTACGACTTACTGTCACTAGATCGAGTATATGTTTTAGTGACAGGGTCATTAAAACTGAAAAAAAATTGATATAATTTTTTTTTTGAACAAAGTAATTGCTTTTTTTTCTACAATATCTATTTAAAATTTGTCAATAGATAAAAATATCACGTCAATCTAATATTGAACTCAAGTATTTAGTAACAAAAGATCGATATAATTCCAAAATTAATAAAATAATAATAATAATAATTATAATAATAATCATAATTATAATAATAATCATAATAATAAAAATAATAATAAAAAAGAGTTTAACTATAATTGAGATAGAGAGACAATAAACAATTTTAATTGGAAAAAAATGACAAATTTTTAGAGAAACTCCAATGAAGTCTTTCATTTTTTTTCCCCTCTTTAATAATTGACTCAATTACTTTTCTAATTTACTGTCGATCGATAATGATTAATGTCATTAGAGAACAAGAGATGAACGCCATATGTCAGTCTGATATTCTCAAGAAACACCAAGAGATCACTTGATTCCGATATAATCATTAATAAATTATATCAGCAAACAATTTCTCCTTGAATTTAATTTAAAATTGAAATTTTCATATTTTAACTGAATTCATCTTTTTTTTTAAATTTAGATGTTTATTTTTCCGAAATTTTTTATTTTTTAATTTACCCTCTAATAACAATCAATAAATAATTTTGAAAAATATTCATTTTATTCTTTTTGCTTAATTGTTTATTGAGAGTTGAAATTTTTGAAACATCTGAAAGAGAAGCCTAACATATGTTACCGCTTAAATACACTATTATCCTCTTGGTAATTTTCTCTTATGAATGTTTCCTAGCGGCGTAGTAGCACGATCAATTAAATTGAAATTCAAGTTAAAATAAGATTCAATATAATACAAATTTTACAAATGATTATACTAACAATCTGTTAGATAGATAATTTGAAGAATAAAAAAAAAAATCCAAGTCCTACATTGTCACTTGTAACTGACCAGCTGCAATTTTACCAATCACTGTCTTCCCCTCCCCATAAGCAATTCAAATCACAATCGTTCCCCTTCTTGATTTTTCTCCCACACATGAGACAAAGTTTTATCTAAGAATAAAATATTGTCATGAATAAAATCTATTTGGAAAATTACGCTTTTCCGAGAAGATAGTGTATATCGAAAGAACAGCTGGTGGAGAATCATGGGATTTGAGATTTCATCTTTTATCGCGTGTCATTATCGAAACCGGAAAAATAATAATTTGAAATAAAATAAAAAGCCCTCGAGAAATTGCGCGGCAAAAAAGAAAAGAAAAGGGTTCGAAGAAATGACGACGAGCTCAGGGACGCGTGCGCAAGTTCTAGAAAGAACATGATTATTCGGTCGCTGTACAGACGTAATACTTGGCGTATATGTGAAAATTTCTACATGAAACTGTATTTTCAAAGATTTTCTAATCATCTCTTTCATGTAAATGAAATTTGGAAGAAGCAAATTTTTTAAATCTTTCTTTTTTTCAAAAAATAGAAATTGAAAAAATTCAACTCAGTATCCGGGTCATTTCCCTCGAATGAACTTTTTCTTTATCTTTGAAAATTGCAACTTGAAATGGAGATATCGGAGACATAATCTAAGTCGAAAACAATTTCTTTTTTAATTTCATTTACTTAATACTCTATTTAATCTCTCGAATTATTTGATAACAAAATTTCCAAATGTTGGAATTTACCAAAATATTTTCTATAATTAAATTTTGATTCAAAAATTCGATTCTTCCAAAGGTATAGACGATTTAAATTCTTTAAAATTAAATTTTTGTGGTTTGAATGAAATTTTTTTTTTTTTTTTTTGCAAGCTAATACTTACGTTATCGCACGTTTCTCCTTTTAGGAAGTGTTCACTATGAAACTCGTGGGAAAGTTGTGTCACTGGTCGATAAAGCAGATGGGCGATTTTGAATTCGTCCTCCAAAAAAAAAAAGTGATTATTTAATAGTAGCACACGTGCCACTCTTGCACGTTAGTTCAAAAAACGTAAAAATTAGAATAAAATGAAAAACTGCACTGTCGCGTTCACTGTTAGAGACGCGAATGTGTCACGTAAATTGATACATGCACTCGTCCAAAATTTTTTTTTTGTGTATCACACAATTAGTGTACTGCCGGCCGGCAGGTCCGGCAACGGTTTTTTTTTCTTCTTTTTCTTTATAAAGAACCACTTAGTACGACTGTTGTTAAGAACGTTTTTTTTTTTTCGTGATTATAATTTGAATTAAATGATCCACCAATGAAGTATAAATCCAAAAATGTTAGCGAGGTGTAGTTAGTTACACATCAACGGCGCACCAAGTCGCCGTGGCGAACCAACTGACACTGACACCTGACAGCGCAAACAACGTTCAACACGGCGCACTGCGCACACATTGGGCTCCCTTTCCCCCTCCTGATTGCTCCACACACACCCTTCCTCACCACCCTGTGGATGTTAAACCGCGTCATCTCCCACCGACTACGTCACAATCCCCACAAAGATTCTCTTTTTATTTTCCTTCTGCCTCTCGACGAGGCAGGAATATATATATGTAGGTATAATTTCTAACATATGATCATTGTCTAAAGTCGAAATTTTCTACTTTTGTAGATTATTATTGAAGAAGTTGGAAAATTTTTAAAACAATTTTATCAGAATCGGATACTTGGAGGCTGTAAATATAGGTTCAATGAGGTGGCAGTTTTTTTTATAATCACTGATATAATTAATGAGGAAGATTATTGTAGGCGATAAAACACTGGATTATGATGATTGAGGTAATTCTGAGGATTTCTTGGATTTGTTCTTAAAGGTGGTCAGGGTGTTTTCTTCATCGAATATCTATAAGCTATTTCGATACCGCGATAATCTGCGATTTAACAGAAAATGAGAATCCTTTAACAGTTTAGAATAAAATATTTCTAAATATCCACAAGTATTATTTCCCTAAAGAAGAGATGAATAGGAGATTTATAAGTTGCAGTCTTCCTTCATGTTTACATTAGGAGTGTGGAGAGAAACCAAAAATTCACAATCAGAAAGGGGTGTTTCAAGGTCAGTTACATAGAAAAAAGTAGTAGAGTACGCTACACATTTTCAAGTAGCAACAAAAATGTGTCAAGTAGGTGGCGCCAAGTGCTATATTCTCACTTTGAACTGCAACAAAAATGATCAGATTTTTTCTGCATATACCCTTTTGCTATAATTTTACCATATTTCAAAATAATTGTTATAAGTATTTTTAGATTAAGCTAATAAAAAAAGCTTCTTGATTAGAGATTATTGATTTTAACTGGCTATTTTTATATCCAAAAAGTAATGCGAGACTATTGCATTAATATATATGGAGTACGTGCCTTTTTGCACGCGCTACATTCTATGTTGTTTGTGCTAAAAACACCCTAATGGATATCTTAGTTTGTCTCAATTCTCTTTCTTCAGTGATGTTATTCATGAATAAAGGGACTTTCTACATATATATTTAAAAGTACCGTATTCTTAAATTGCAAATGTAAATTTTTTATATCACTAACAAGTTTCATTTTATTTCATATCATTTTATCAAAAGCAAATAAAAAATTCAACTGATGAGTTTATAGACAAAAGGGACAAGTGATAACTTTTCAACACTAACAAAAGTTAAATATAGTGTCTAACTAAATTAGTTCTTTTCTAGTTTTGAATAAATTATCCTGTTTATAATTTTTCGGTTTCATTTTTCCCTGTGTATTTACTTATATTAATAAAAAAATAAATAAAACAGCTTCGGGAATAAGAAATGAAATTTGAATTTTTAAACTCTGTTCTCGAGTATGAACGCATTTATTTCCGGTGCACAGTTTGTATTGGGTCAACAACATTATATATGTATCTATATATACTCAGTGAATATATGTAGAAATGTCTGATAAAACATTTCTAAAAAATAATTTTTAAAAAAATATCTTTCTTACAAAGTGTTCTTTTTTTAAATTTTATTTTTTATAGTTTTTAGAATATTTTTGAAATCGTAGAATTTTCTGGGCGTTTGAAGAACTTTCTAGATCTTTGAAGAATTTTCTAGTCCCTTGAAGTAAAGCGTTTATATTTATTAAACATTTTTATTTCAAATATTCAATTCTTCATTTAGAAAGTTACAAATATTTTTTACAAGAATAAAATTATTTTTCGCAGAATACTTTCAATTTTGCATAGTATTTAAAAAAAAAAAACCTCACCCATGCTTCTAGAAAGTTCTGCTTGGAGTATTCTCTATTACCATACATATATATAAAGTTGAGATAAAATAGTCATGACTTTCAAGAATATACTTTCGGAAAATATAATTGAACTTTGGGAACATTCTTTAGAATGTTTTTTGCAAATTTTACTTTAAAAAGAGTGTTCTAAAACTAAAATCTTGTTTGATTTTTTATATTATTTTTTGGATCTGAAACATTTTCATTTAAAAAATTTCAACAACATTGGAAATAAGAAAATTTTAGTTTTCTGTTAAATCAAACTTTATTATGAGTTTGTAAATATTCGTATTTTATATATTATATTTTATATTTCGATGACATAGTTGAAGCACAAAATCTCATCATAAAGTAAAAACTAATGAAATGGTTAATGTGTTCAAGTATTCATTATTTTTAACTAGAAAATATAACCAGCTAGGACAAATCTCTCATTTGTGGTTTGGTTGTTGTCGCATACATTGTTTGGCAAATTGAAAAACAGAAGCAAATGACCTTCGCAACCGGATGGCTCGACTGGACTCGACTCCAACCAGCCATAAAGTTAAAAGTATTTGCGTGAGGGTCCCTATAGGCTAGTTACATTTAAATTTCGATAATGAAAGATTTTTAGACATTTTAATATCATTTCTCTATTTTCAAAACATTTTTTTTTTTTTTTTTTTTTTAATTATTTTTGCTATAGAATCGATTTTTAATTTCAACCTAACATATACTTTGAAAGTAATTAGCCGATTGTTATTAACTGAAATTATTTAAGTTAAGTCACTCAGCGAAAAATCATTAGTGATTAAAAATAGCTTTAATTACTGCTCTGAAATTGAAAACTAGTTTCACCTTTTTAGTTCTACTTTTGACCTTGCTTTGAAACTCGTTTTCGCAAAATCTTTTTGTATCTTTATTTTTTCTTTTATAATCAAGTATATTATAGATTCACGAACAAGTTATAGAAGAATATTTCTTTTTCTTTTTTACCTTAGGTCCCTGGTAGTAATGAACTGTGTTGGCAATTTGCCAAAATTTCAGCACCTAAATCGACTAGTTTTCGTGAGTCAAAAATGATTTTGTATCGATTAAACTTCACTCTCGAATTTTTTTTTTTGCACTGAATCCAAAATTGATTATTATCACCTTTCTCTCGTTAACGTCAATTATTCTGCATTTTTATATATATATATATATATATATATATATATATATATATATATATATATATATATATATATATATATATATATATATATATTATTTAACTATACAATTTTAATTTTCGTAACAGTTGCGATTAATTTAATTAACTTTAAAAAAAATACTTAATTTTTTATTTCGCACTTGTTTTTTTTTTAATTTAGATATTGTTTATTTTGAGAACAAAAAAAAAAAAATGACGATAAAATTTCGTTTATAATAATAAAATGTTGCAACTATCGTTGATCTCTTCGTAATTTAAATGATATATATTTATATAGAATAGATCACGTGCTAAACGCCTCTTTTGATTTTTGGCTAGACATCAAAAATTCCTGACTAAACGTACGCTGACTTTATTTTGAATCGAATGTACGTATCGAGTGTATGAGACATTTCCCCTTAACGGAGTTGTAGTAGCAATTAGTTCTCTTCGTACAGTCCTTGAATTAATCCTCAAATTGATCCATTAGAACTCAATTGTCCAAACATGTACTTCAAAAAAAAAGAAAAAAAAAAAAAACCCATAAATTAATGACTTTTAAGGTTGATATACGCTCAACAATGTCAGCAATTGGAAAAAAATTTAAAGCTCTTTAATTTCAACATTCTTTTTCCAGTCGTGCGCGAAAAAAAAACTATTTAGTATTCAAAAGTATCAGACATTGCTTGAATAATTTTTATTTTCGCATCTGTTATAAACGCGTGTCTTAAAAACGTAGAGTGAACGAAATGTGGAAAAATAAAATTTAATTGAAAAAATTAAAAAAAAATATATAAAAAAAAGTTTCTGTTACATAATTTCGATAAATTTTCCAAATGAATTGTTTCAGATTTCATATATATATATATATATTTGAAAAAATATATTAATATATAATACTATTTTTCAACTTCATATTTTGTAGCTTCAGTCTTGCATGCTTGGAGATATCGAGTGTAAAAATATTGTTCATTATAAAAACCTTGAGAAGAAAACGGTTCAACTTTTTTTTTTTTTTTTTTCTCCTTTTTCTTTCGATTTTGCTGTCGCATAGGGAGAACGGTCGATCAAGAGTTATTATTTTGATGATTCTCAGTAGTTGAGAATTCTTATATACCTTCTTTAGTAGCTAGAAACCAGTGGTAATATTAACAGGTGACATAGCAGCGTAAATCCCACAAGATACACTCAATTATTGAAGAAACAATATCGATCTTTAATGTGTGTCAGGCAAGGACGTTGCTTTCTGATTCGAACTTACCTTACATGACTTTCTTTTATAATATCTCATACAAGAAATAATTGAGAGAATATATATACCTAATTCGTATTTTAACTCACTGTCCACATAAAACGTAATAATAAACTATAAATTAAAATATAAATTGGAATTATAAATTGAAATTATAAATTAAACACAGAAAATTAAAAGGCATTAAAATAAGCTGCAACGCTTATTATTTTAATCCAATTTTGTTTATATTAATCCATTTTGGTATTAAAATAAGCAAAATTGGATTAAAATAATAAGCGTTGCAGCTTATTTTAATACCTTTTAATTTTCTGTGAAATTATAAATAATAGTAACAATAATAATAATAATAATAATAATAATAATAATAATAATAATAATAATAATAGTAACAACAGGATGTATTTAAACCAATAATATTTTTCATTCTATGACTAATATTATGCTACCTTTTGAGGCTTTTTATCATTTTGCATTTTTATACTTCCGGCATGTGATATTTGGAAGTGGTTTCGTAATTATTACGTTTTTTTTTATGATTACACGTAATTAAGTGTCGTATTTGTGACGCCTCTTTGGAATTAATGTGGGTGTAAACTACGTATAAAGTTTTTCTCAATGAACAATACGTTAGCAAATAGTTTTGTGTTATATATATATTTTATTTTCAAAAGGAAAATTAAATTATTATTTAATTA